AGTAGTATGCAAATGCAACGAGATATTTTTATTTTTAGTTACAAAGGTAACTTGATACTTTTGTTTTTCACAAGGAGTAAATTCAATTAGAGGTCACGATTCGTCGCGTCTAGTTCTTACGACATGTTTTAGAGGGGACGAGACTTTAGATTTGAAACAGTTCTAACGTTTGCAATAGTAAGTGCGGGTAACGATTGTTTTCTTCTTGTTGCATGCAAATTTAACGAGATATTTTTTTTTAGTTACAAAGTGTAATTTGACACTCTTGTAATAATCAGATGGGAGTGTGGACGTATAAAACCAGACACACATCATAAAACACATATTAGACACAGCAATCAGGATGACTATATGGGCTCCTAAGTTTAAAGCAAAATGGTTCTCTTCTTACAATTTTTGTTTCTGACTGCCATCTACCTTCACAATACAAGTGGAACGATATGCATAGGAGAGCTAATTACCTTATACTAATTGAAGAACCTTTTAAGCTATGTTTAGGAAACAATTATGAAGTGCCTACAAACCTGATACCACGGGAAATCCTTCACCAAAGATGCAAAACGGTGGGCAACGTTGTGCTTCCACGTGGCAAGGTTCCATCAAACACAGGAGAAAAGCGAACAGAAGAAAGAACTTCAGCAAATGCATGTTGATAGCGATCGTAAAGGGCCTTGCTGGCTACAAGTTGATCTGAACAATGAATAGCAAGATGAGATCGTTGTAGCCATGCTCAACGGTATTAACTGAAGCTAGAGAATATTCTAATTTTTTTCCGATACAGCTATTTGATTTAAGAAGATGACCTTTCTATTTCGTACTGGCTAAGTTTGATTACAAATTACTGGCTAATGTATTCATTCACCCTAAAAGTATTGGTGGATTGCACATCGAAGCGAGCGCACCAAGCTTGTCCGTTCTCACGTGAATCAAAAAACTAAAGGAATGTTAGTGAATATGAAGTAAGCTTCCCTTAAATTGAATCGAACGTTTTTCAGGCAAATATGACTAAACAGAAAAGCGGGCAAGGTTTACATGCAAGCTATGCTTAGGTAAACATGTGGTTATACTAACGAGCGGAAACGGTTTATTGCAGGTGTAGACGATATAGGTTCACTTGAACGAAGCATTTATAATATCGCACAGAATTCCTTATACTTACAGTACAGTGAGCGAATCCAATTTACGGCTAAAAAACACAACTTCAATACTCTACACACAACTTAACCACAGAACAGACTAGCAACTACTTTATATTCAGCGGCCTCAAGTCATCCGTTAAAGCGAACCAATCTTAGAGTCCTCCGATGTAATTGCGTGATCGGCGTTCTGACCTCGACGCCGCAGTTACAAATATCTATCTGCTGGCCAATGTAAAACAGTCATTAACTTATCCTATCTATCCTAGCGCGACACAAGAAATAACACGTTTGGTATATCCACCATCGTTTGATTCTTCCTTTGAATCGCGTAAGTCATTGTCCATCTCTTAGAATTCGAGCAGGTGATCGTTGCGCACATGACTCATCTTAATGCATATCTCTGAAGCGTCGAAGACTCGCGCAACCCTAATCTTACCTTCAATTTTCAAGGTCGAGACCTCTAGTTTGGGATTAAAGCAAAATTATTATTATTGTTGTTGTTATTGTTGTTGTTTTTTGAAACCTTGATATGTTTTCCATTTCCATAGTACTGAGTCATAATCAAGCAATTCATAGCTCACGGTTGACGGGGTACGACCTTGCTGCTCACGTTAGCAGAATATAAATAGAGAGCTTAAGCAATGACAACGGCGACCACGCGGACAATACCTAGTGAAAAAATGAATTTTATGTCTCATTACTTTTACAAGACATGTACAACTCTCACTCGTTGCGTCAATTGAGCTTCGGTTGCTGGGAAACTAAATGACGTGACACACTCTGGCATATTTTGACCACACAGGTGGCCGTTTATTGTTGGTTACACATGTAACAAAAAACGAACAGTGTTAAAATCTGCACGACACTGCTCCCAGCAAAGGTGAGGGGATACCCAAAAATCTGCGACTAGTCTCGTAGAAGAGGGCAATCGGGTGGGTGCCAATCAGGGTCCCGGGCAAAAGAGGACAAAAACCTGTTCTGCATGAGGTTGAAAGGCGGTTTTCTGCTAATAGATGTCGAATCGCGATCACCTGTCCAAAGCCAGGACAGATTCATTATTAATAACTAGGTAAATAAGGAGCATAAAAGGATTTCATAGGTAAACAAATATCCTTTATTTTACCTTCGAGAAAGGAAGAAACGACCTTCGCTACAACCACGAACACCAAGTTAGCAGCATATCGCTAACCGCTAACTGTTAACGGCTTCCGGCTAAAAAAAAAAGACTTTCTATTATCCGTGATACTGAAGTCCAAGTGTAAACATATGTAACTGCAGGTAGCCTTAAATCGTTCGAGAAGGTATTCATACTATTTTAAGTTAGGGTTTATAACCAAAGAGTAAGTGATCATTGCCTCTATATACCTTTATTTATTAATATATTCCGTGGTTGATTGGTTCAAAATATAATACCCTCGATCGTTAAATGGTATCCAGTATATTATTCCATAATATTATACCTCCATTACTTTGATTCACATACAAGAAATAACATCAAGTTAACAAACGGAGCATAACCGATCAAAATATCTCGAAATCCTGATGTAGTTTTCCACCCTTGCTGCTATTCATCCCATGGAAGGTCGACGTTTCTCCAGCATTAAAAAATGCGATCTTCTCTCCCTGGTATTGAGGCGCTCGGCTTTCTCTTCAACTCCTCCCTTTAATCTACGAAATTAAGGTTATCATTTTAATCATCGGATTAGAGTGTGGACGAATAAAATCAGGCACACATTATAAAACACTTAATAGACACAGCAATCTGGATGACTATATGGGTTCCTAAGTTTAAAGCAAAATGGTTCTCTTCTTACAATTGTTGTTCCTGACTGCCATCTACCTTCAGAATACAAGCGGAACGACATGCATAGGAGAGCTAATTACCTTATACTAATTTAAGAACCTTTTAAGCTATATTTGGGAAACAGTTATGAGATGCTTACAAACCTGATATCACGACCTAATCCTTCACGAAAAACGCATGACGGTGGGCAACCCCGTTGTGCTTCCACGAGGCAAGGTTCCATCAAACACAGGAGAAAAGCAAACAGAAGAAAGAACTTCAGCAAAATCATGTTGATAGCGATCGCAAAGGGCCTTCTTGACTAGAAGTTGATCTGAACAATGAATAGGAAAACGAGATCGTTGTAGCCAGGCTCAACGTTATTAAGCTAGAGAATATTCTATGTTTTTCTTAACAATACAGCGATTTGATTTAAGAAGATGACCATTCTATTTCATATTGACTACGTTTGATTACAAATTACTAGCTAATGTATTCATCCACCCTAAAAGTATTGGTGGATTGCACATCGAAGCGAGCGCACCGAACTTGTCCGTTCTCACGTGAATCAAAAAACTAAAGGAATGTTAGTGAATGTGAAGTGAACTCCCCCTTAAATTGAATCGAACGTTGTTCAGGCAAATATGACTAAACAGGAAAGCGAGCAATGTTTACATGCAAGCTATGCTTAGGTAACCGTGTGGTTATACTGACGGGCGGAAACGGTTTATTGCAGGTGTAGACGATATAGGTTCACTTGAATGAAGCATTTAAAATATCGCACAGAATTCCTTATACTTACAGTACAGTGAGCGAATCCAATTTACGGCTAAAAAACACAACTTGAATGCTCTACACACAACTTAACCACAGAACAGATTAGAAACTGCTTTATATTCAGCGGCCTCAAGTCATGCGTTAAAGCGAACCAATCATAGAGTCCTCCGATGTAATTGCGTAATGGGCGTTCTGATGTTGACGCTACAGTCACGAATATCTATCTGTTGGCCAATCTCAAACAATGATGAACTTATCCTATCTAAGCGCGACTCAAGAAATAACACGTCTCGCATATCTACCATCGTTTGATTCTTCCTTTGAATCGCGTAATTATTTAACAATTATTCGCCAAAGGCGAAGTGACCTGGTGAATATTCACCTCGACTTCGTCTCGGGAAACATTAGGACTTTCGGGAAAACAAAACTAACTGCTTCCCTCGGGACCATACATTAAGTGTATATTAATGTTCACTGAGCCTGAGGCGAATAACTGTTTCAGTATAATTCTCAGAGGTGAATATAAAGGACTACAAATTAATGGAATAAAACATAAAAACACAGACGTAACTGTTCGTGGCATACACGTATGCTGCCGTAGTTTTAATAATAAGCTTAGATGTACATCGATTGTCAATCAATTTACTCATGGAGTTCGGCAGTAAAACAAATGAGCGAAACACTATGCCGGCGAAGCGAAACGTATCGCAGAGCAGAGGGAGGAGAGCTAGAGCTAGCTAACAAATAAAATATGTATAAGAAAGAAACCTCGGTAGTTATAGGAGAAAAAAAAATACACAAAATAACAGTAAATCTTCTGTGGCGGCCGAGGCATTGGGTCGCTACGAAACACGGCTCCATTAAACACACAAGCAGCGATTACACAAAGAAGAACTTGAACCAACGCATCTCAAGCTGCAAGTCACCCCGCCAAACGTTTTCAGATGGTTACTAGTAAGCAAGTTTATCGATAGCCACGGAAGGGACCCATCTGGGCTTACTTAGGAAAAGCATTCGAAATATACTTAATGCGAGCGAATCTTCGAATTTCTGGCTATCAAAGCAGTTCGAATAATGCTAAAAGAAGAAAAAATTAAAAGAATGATCCAAAAGAGAATTAAAACATAACCGGAAGCAAATGGTTTGAAGGATATTTCCATCACCATGGATTTATTCTAATCAAGTTGTGTCGTCTTCTATTTAGCCAGCGGGTAACCTAGGGAGTGGTGAAGCTTTTGCAGCATCGAAACCAGCTTTCGGTTAATCTTCGTGATGTCCTAACCAGGCCGCTTTCTTTACAACTTCAAGCTCTCTTGCATCTTGGGAATAAATACAATCTTTTTCAGTGATATCAAGACAGGAAAACAGGCACTGCATGATCAGACGCTGAACTATGTTCATTGTTCAGAAAAAGACTTGTCATTGGGTGCTTCCCATTGAACCAAAAACTCCGAAGGGACAAATGGTACGGGAATTTCGCGGGAAAGGTTCCAGAAAATCCGAAAGTTCTTGAATTTCCCGCGAATCGAGTCATTTAACCAAAGATTCCAGAAAGTCCACGATGAATAGCAATGAAGCGGAAATTTCCATGCATTAATTTTTTCCCAAAGATTTTGAATATACCTCTTTTTCGGAAATTACGCAAATTCGCAATTTTCTATTCAACGCTAGTTGTTTTGCTCGCAATCACACTGAGCGAGTTGGACATCTCACGCATAGCTGACGGCCACGCATATTCGAAAATGGATAAATATTTTACTGTAGAATCTTGACACTTGCCTGTCGAGGAATACAGCTAAATACGTCAAGAAAGTGTGCAATTCCAATAAAAGAGTATGCCCTGTGTGGTGTACTTGTTTGTTTTGCATAGGTTGGCTAAGAAATTTACGTGGATTTATTTATGTTTTGGGACGTTTACACTGTCATTGTGGTTTGTATAAGGCACGTCCCAGCTGATTTGACTGAAAATCTCAGTGTTTTGTTTGCTTCTGCATGTATATTTTCGATTTAAATCTCCAAGTCATTGAATAATTCCAAGCGAACAAAAGGGCGGTGGAGTCAGCCATTTTCATTTTAAGAGAGAGAGAGATAGAGAGAGAGAGAGAGAGAGAGAGAGAGAGAGAGAGAGAGAGAGAGAGAGAGAGAGAGAGAGAGAGAGAA